TTATGGTCATTTGCATAATAAGTGCGTTGGAATTTCATAACGGTGCGTTATCAAAGCCTCAAATTCAAGGCAACAGGCAGAGCTCTAGTTCATAGCTATACAGCAGTGGCTTGCAAGGACCTGTTTAAACCCTATGGACCAATATTTTGTGTTTTTCTTGATCAATTTCGTTACTTCCCTGTCATAAAGTCTGAATCAAAGTCTGAGTATACCAAGTGCAAGTCTGTGTGCCCTATATCTGAGTCTCAGTCTGAGTAGGAGGTTGAGTTTTGATGGAGAGAAAAATATAAATAGATGTCATGTGATTTGGCTTGTATTATGAACTCATGTACAGACCCGAATGTGGTATCCTGATGTTATCATCTCAAAATCCATTAATTTACATCGTTAGCCCAAGAGAAAATGTTGCAGCCTTTTTTGACTAAATGTTCCATACAATTTGGGAAATCGGTTATATTTTGGTATGTCAATAGTAAACCAGGCAATTTGTGCACAAACCTTTGGGACTGTGAAAAAGTTAAACTTTTCATGTGATTCCTCCTCATTGCATAAAGAATTGATCGAGCGATCATCTTGTCTTCATGTTCGTAGATTATTGCATGTGTATAAATAGCCGTTAATGTTACGCCCAAACTTGACCATGCATGCTCCCAACATTGTCTGGGACCGTCCAAACCATGTGTTCCAGTCCAGTTGAGACACTTGTTGGGCCCATATGGCCGTGAGTGCCGAAAACATAAAAAACTAAAGTTAGCCCAGCTTGACTCACTCTTAATAGCTGACAAAATTCTCCAAACATTTTACGAGGCAAATGCAAGGTCCTCAGTGTTTCACCATTCAAGTTTGAGGTCTCAATTTAATGTATTAAATGACACTTTTCTTCAAAAGTTTGCACCTGAAAAGCAAAATGATTAGATTTGAAACCTAAGACTAGACTGGTACACGTCCTACTGTTTGAAAAGACTGACCCCATCAGTGGTCTGGTGGCATGACTGATGGAGGAAATGTGCCACAGAGATTAGGAACTACACGTTCATGTTTATTTTGACACAGTTTATTGATGCCAAATTAAAACCTGTCCGAAGTAAGAAGAATTGACAAATCTAGAACATTTACGGCAAAAGACGATCTTTTATTTTCTCTCGGAAAGTATGCTTCATTTATTTAACCGTATTTTTCAAGTTTAACAACAGAACACAATACTTTTTCCATGCCAGATTAAAACTCACAACGGTAGCCACAGCTTTATAAACAATTATTGTGTTGTTGATGCAGTAATTAGTGCTACCATAGAAAGAATTCCATACAAGGCCACCACAAATCTGGTAAAGACACACTATTTTAGGAGTGCAAAAATTCTTTAATAATACTATAACCTTTTCTCTCATGGCCCATAGACTTTGTGCAGGAGGTCTGAATGCCGGCCTTGTATGGAATTCTTTCCGCTACCATAAGCTGCTGAATGGAAATCCTCACTTTTCGCACTATTTTGCAACACATTTAGAGATATTGACATGGGAATGTGACATTCAGTGTACACACACATGGAGTCAAAACTCACAAGTTTAGTGCACTCTTTCAAAAAATGTAGACGCCACAATTAATGACTAAAACGTCTGCCCTAACCCGATTTCTGGCTCCGCCCCTGCTGTAGCACATTGTAACTAAAAAGTAATTAACAGCGTCATTGCAATGTATCAAAATGTATTTTATTTTACAAAATGGCGTCCATGCAGTGAATGGAACGGACGCAGGTATCACAGGTTCTGTGTATACCACCGTACTTAAACATCCGCCATTGAACTCCATGTATGTACATGTTTAACCCTGCTACCCACTCCTAGTGCCTTTGTTGCAGACACGTCGTTCGCCAAACTTGTTTTGCTTTGCTAAAATACAATATCCGACACCGGCTATAGGCGCATGCTTGTGCAGCAACCTATGGCAAGCTTGTGACGTTGATCTTTTCTTAAGGCAATTTGCATAATAACATAATAACATAATACATTTGCATAAATACGTTTGTATTCCATAAAGGTGCTTTATCAAAGCCCCAAACCGAAGGCCACAGGCAGAGTTCTAGTTCATAGCTTTACAGCAGGTGGCTTGCAAGGATCCCATTTAAACCGTATGAACCAATATTTCCTTCTGTTTTCTTGATTAATTAAAATCAACTTCGTTGAGTCCCAGTCCTAATGTCTTTGTCGAAGTCCAAGCATACCAAGGACGAGTCTGTGTGTCCTATATCCGAGTCTCAATCTAAATAGGAGGTTGAATTTTGATTGAGAAAAAAAAAGTATATTGATGTGATGTGATTTGCCATGCGCATGCCTGTATCGAGACGTTATATACAGACCCGAATGTTGTATCCAGAATCCAGATGCTATCATCTCAGACTCCATTGACTAATATCGAGAGCCCCATGGAAAATGTTGGAGCCATGTTTATCGAGAAATTGCTCCATTTAGTGGGAAATCTTTTTTCTTCTTTTTTAGGTGTTGGGCCTTGAGCCCAACACCTATTGTTATTGTAAGAATTTACTATTTTTGTTCTCCTCAGCAAATTCTCAGCAAATTCTTCTCCAGAACTGTTTTTCAAAATGAAAACATATATGCACTTCAATTGTCAATACATGAATTCACAACCCACTGAAGATGTGTTTTTTTGCAATTACGTCATCAGGACGTCATCATGGGTCACGTGACGTCACTTCAAAAATTAATAAATTTAATCTCTGAAATTCAATATAAAATCAACCGTGAGAGACCGGAACTTGAATTTTTCGGGAATTGACATGATAATATATGATCTTCATTTTATCTTGTGCGCGTCAAATCACGTGACCCTTCCTTCCGGTCGAAACCGGAAGTGCCTTATAATTTAAAAGTGGAAAAAGATGTGAACTTGCTTTCAACGATGTTAGTCTGTGGGTGGGTTGACCTTTCAAAAAATATGATCGGTGACGCCATGAAGTTTTCGAGCGCCCTCTAGCGGCAGGTTAAAAAACGTCAAAAACGCATTTTCACCTGATTTATGTGGATAGGTTTGCGGTAATCGCTTCAAAATTAATGTACATGATGACCTTAATGCAGACAAGACCTATGCGCGAAAAATTGATTACGTCATCGGATCCGAAGTTACAATAAAAAGACCTTGAAACCTTAAATAATTGCTAAAAAAATCAACTGTGATAGATATAACCAAGATTTGGCTATATATAGCACAGTTGAAATAGCTCTTGAACTTTCTGGTAATAACGTCACAATGACGTGATCAAGTATCATATTACAAGCAATCAAAGATTTCTAGATTTAATCTTTGAAAATCAATATAAAATCAACTGCTACAGATTTAATTGTGTTTTTTTTTTATGGCAATCGATACAATATTGCAGGGTCTTCATTTTTGGTATTAAGTGCAAAATCACTTGACCCTTCCTTCCGGTCGAAACCGGAAGTGCCTTATTATTTGAAATTGGCAGAAGATGCGAACTTGCTTTCAACGATGTGAGTGTCTGCCTATAGGCAGTACTGTAAAAAAAAAAGTGACGTCATCAAATGTTAGAGCACCCTCTGGCGGCATGTTGAAAAATCAAACATGGATTTAAACATGCATATACATGTATTGAGTTGATGTGTTTGGCATGACGTGAACACTCCTCCGAGTAAGACCAACCCGAACAACTATGTAAGCAACTTGGGTAGGGAGACATCATTTGGGGGAGCCTGCCCTAGGGGATTAAGATATTTATAAGCACTTATTCTATAATTGGTTCCTAAAAGGAGCGAAGGTCACTCTGCCTGAGAGATTTCAAGCATAATATTTGGTTGCTAAATTTAATCTGTCGGCCAACAAATTGCATTATCATAATGACGTACCTAAAATGTTAACTTGTTTTATATGTTGAAATGTGAAAAATCGTGAATAAATGGCTGAGAACGATCTGTTACTGTTATGCTAGCATAAAACCGCAATTCACCAGATAGTATAGTTCCAGAAATCAGTGTGGCTAACAGGTGATATTTCATTTAACCACAAGTCATTATCTCGCCGGGACTGTGGAGCAGGGAGGGGAGTTTGGTTTACTTAAGGGCTCCCCAGGGGCTTTCAACAGTGTGAAACTAGCCACTTTCTTAAGAGAGCCGGTTTCGTCATGCAAGGTTTGCGGTAATCCATGGCCCAACACCGTGTGGTTGTTCCTACAACCTCTAGTTTGTTTTTGGTTTTTTTGTTTTCCAAGTGATGCAAAAAGGGGAGGTACGAAGGTTTTTTTGTATTTCTCACGACCTCTGCTTTATAGCAAACGATCATTTAGATATTTTGGCTTTTTCATCAGATCAGTTGCAATGAAGGCTTTTACATGTCTTGCGCTTCTGTTGTGCGTGGGCTGCGTCTTCGCCACTGAAGGTGAGTTATACACTTACAACTTGATCCAGTTCGGCCGGTTCGTTTGGTGTTTGGGGGATCTGGGCATTTTCGAAGCGACGGCGGACAACGGCTATGGCTGTTACTGCGGTCTTGGAGGCCAAAGCACACCGCTGGATGACACTGACAGGTCAGTCGCCAAAAATTATCACTTCCACATTAGTCTAACAATTACATTTCTCCGTCCCAACAAACTTAACGGATTCCAAGTCACAGTTTTAAATCAGACTATCCATTACAGACCGGCTCGCTAATAAATTCAACTTTATATGCGTGCATGCGTAAATGCAGGGGTGAGGAAAAAACATTAAGTATGCGCATAACTTGGATTATATAACGAACTGGTCTATTATTGAACACTTTTGTTTAATAAAGAAAGCCCTCAGTGCTATTTCGATTGCAAACGACAAAGCGCCAATACATGGGGACAATGTAAATTGTCCTGATGATAGGCTCTGTTAGCAGTCTTATATGCAAGATAGTTTACCAAGGTACAGCACTGCTACGGACACGCAATATGATTCAGGATTCCGCAATGTATTTAGAGTATACAGATCACAGGTATGTGTATCGCAACGCTTGTCCACATTACTGAAGACACAACGGTCAAAACGCAGTCTTGTTGTGCATGATTAATCGCCAAATCTGCTCGCATAATAATAGACCCTTGCAGTGCAAGGGGATGGTATTCCATATTCCATAGACTAAATTTAGGGTATACGATGTCTCGAAGTTCAAGTTGCAATGTGTTTCTTCGTCAGATGCTGTGTAGAACACGATAACTGTTACAAAAGAGCTGTAACGAAAGACATCTGCAGGGTCTGGGATACCTATGCAGTTTGGTACAAATTTGAGGAAAACACTGACGCGTCTGGAAAGTGCTCAATCAAATGCAGTAAGTCATCCCCCCGTAGAATATTTCGTCGCTCCCAGAGAGCCAACCTAGGTGCCCGTGTACATGTTTCACTAACTGACTATCACTCGTGCTAAGATTGATTGTTGACTGGTAAAAAAAGTCGAGCAGTGCTATCGTATAGGACGTATTCTTGATATCACAACTTTGTAACATTGTTGTGCAAATATCAACGAGCTCACAAGCCTATTAAGAAAAGAATTTTGAAGAAATGATGTTGTGTTCGTGAGATATGGTGATAATATTCAAAACTTCAAAAATCTATATAAAATCACACGATGACGTTACTGTATCTTCATGTTAATTTTCGTCTTTAACACCCCCCGTCTATTTACGTAGAAAAGTTGCAACGTAATCGCACTTGTGATTCTCTAGGTATACGACTGTAAACATTGCACCTTTCAGATGACGTCACATGACCAATGATGACAGCACTTGTCACTTACTGCACACATTAACAACAGTGGCGGTTCTACGGGGAGGCTAGGGGGGCTTTTTTTCTGGACAATCGAGTCTACCCTGAATATGTGGTCAGAAGAAGATCATCATGTTTATTTTCGTTTCTCTTTCCCCCTTTTTTGACAGAGGCAGAGGATGAGTATTCTTCGTTGATCACTAAAGCCAAATGTCGAGCCTTCATGTGTGAATGTGACCGTCAAGGGGCGCAGTGTTTCGCGGACAAGCGGCCCACGTTCAACAATAGCTGCTAAATGCATACGTCACAAAATCCTGAGGATGTGCTAAAACATATCCATTTTAATCATTATTCGATTGATCTGACATTATTATCAAGAAAACTTGTTGCTTTATTAAGCGATTTCGCAGCATAACCTATCGACCTAGTCTGAATGTTAATTTATAAACGATTTAAAAAAAAAAAGTTTTCAGAAGTTTGATTAAGCAATAAAACTTCATACACACAATTGTAGAAGATACTGACGACGGCGGCTTATGCTACAATAAGATTTTGTCACAAACTCACACGGCGGGTGATGACTTCGTTTAATCTGTAACAATAAATATGTAAAACATACGAACATTACGATAAGTTCTAATTAAAGGGAAAATACAACATTTGCAAACATCAAAAAATAAAACTACCAAATCATTTTGAAATACCTTGCTGGACTGTTAGTGAATGACAGTGTAAAGCATCATGTAAAATCATGGCACCTGGTATACTGTCATTTTCAAGAAAAGTGGTATTTTTGTATCAATTTCCAACGCTGATCGGCCGATCAGCGTTGGAAAAAACTGGCTTTTTTTCAAATACTGGCCCCAATTGACCATCGCACTTGTTTGCAATCGATTACAAACCTATGAACGGGTACGAGCCAGCTAGGCTGGTTCCCTGACCTTACAATACCCCAATGTATGTAAACTGCTCTGTTTCTTCTTATATGGAGTCAGGGAACCAGACTACAGGAAAATGATTGTTTTTCTTGGTATTTATAGCATTTTCGAACCCAAAACCTCAAAAAAGTCAGTGTAACTATATTTGCTATATATTTCCAACCCCCAATTCCTTCCATTTCTGAAAATTACAGCAAAAGCAAATGATGTATATTCCCTTTAAGCTACAATATTTATATAATATTTTGGTCATAAACATCCATGCACGTTTGTAAATGAACAAATCAATAAATAGAATTTCAATTAACTTACGACTTTGTTGACATTTGTTGCACACTTCTATTTGATCGATGCTTATTTTCACAAACATGTTAAAACAATGAAGAAACCATATAGATATAGAATAAAAAAACTTAGATAACCGACATACAGATCCTTGTCAATTGATTGGTGGAACTCACATCACGTAACATTCGTTATTGCTCCCATTCACGTCGCGGCTCAAAGTACTATCCGCCCATGGGGAATGGGAAATACTATTCAACAGTTAGGATCATGACGCAGTATTTGTGTGCAAATGAATGAAGAATGCTCCATGGATCACCGAGGGAGGCTAGTTTTACTTCACCCCGAGATAAAGCATTCAATATTTGTTTTATTACACTTCACCCACAGATTCTGCTTGGTTTTAAGATTTTAAATTATTTAAATCTGAACACAGTTGAAATAGACTTCAATTTCAATACAAAATTGGTGGAAAATGTATTTCTCTCTTCCAAACTACCCTTCACGAAATGTTTGAACCCAACTCTGTGGCGGGCTCTCTTTGGAACAAAACGCGCTACGCACAACGCGCAACGTTTACACCAGCATGCATTTGCACACAAATACCTCGCCGTGGAAATAGTACTTTGGTTGCTAAAGGTATAGTACTTTGGTTGCTATGGGCATAGTACTTTTGGCCGTGTACTAAAAGATAACAAAAAATAGAAAGTATCATGTGACTTGCTCTCGGCCAATCAAGACACAGAATCTGTGGGTAAGGTGTTATAAATTATTCTATATCTAGTCTATGGAAGAAACTGTTATGAATCGAACAATAACGCTGCGCACACGCGCAAAGGCGCGCGCTGACAAACATTTTTGACATTTACAACAATAATATTCTCGGATGGTAAAAAAACCATTATTTTCGAAGCTTTCTTATGATTCTCTTGAGCATAGTTTGTCATGGTGCTACTAAATTGTCTTGACTAATGATGCACAGTCAGCCATTTTGTTTGTAATTGCAACAAGCCGAATAATATAGCATGCGCATAGACGCAAACCCGCACTGTGCAGACTAGTGCCTTAAAATGTTGATTTGTATCGGTAACTTTCAACGCCGCGCGTAGCCTGAGCCTCAGACCGGCCACGCCATGGTGAGCGATGAGGATGAACCGTGCACGCAGCCGCCGACGGGCGAGCATTTCGCTGCGAACACAGCGACTTCGGCAAGCTCACAAAATGCTTGACGGTGTTGAACTTGTGTGCATAAGTATTACACCTTCGGGTTCCATGGTGTGCCGGAACCCAGCTGCGGCTATCCAAAGATTGTCGATGTGGCGACGTCTATCCATGGAGGAAGGAACACAAAGTTTGTGTTCCTTCCTCCATGGTCTATTCAACCAACTCGGACCCAACTATGACCATGATCAATTCGGACCCAACTTCGAGTAGAAATAAATTGCTTTGCAAATTGCTGAAACATCGACGTGATGAGATTGAGAAATAAGCTCTTGGCTGGTGTTTCAGTGCTTAGACATATGTATTCTTCGATTGGGAATTAATTTTACAAATAGCTTATACATGTACACGCTTAAAAACGCTATAGCTTCCCAATACATGTAGCTTACGCTACGTGGACTCCTTATTTTCAATACACCCACTGAAAAAGCCTCAAACCACAAGGGCCCGCCCCATATATGCACACACCACATGTACTGCCCGAATCGCCAAGACTGGATTTCGGTTCGACTCGTCGATAGCGCCCTCTACCGTTGATATCGTTTGGCTGTGCTAGTTCGCTCGTACCCCGCCCTGCAAACAGGGCGCTGGGAAGGGCTGATGAGCTTCACAGAATCTTGTGAAGGAAGTGGGGATGGCATTCTTGGTAACTTATCATGACCTTTATAAAGATATCCAGCTGCAGCTATGCGGTTACCTAATGCGGCGCAAATGCTATCCGAAAACATTCTCAACGAAAAAAGAAGAAGACAATTCTGAATTAGAATAAAAGAGTAGTGACTCGGTCTTAACAGCCGTTGAAATCCTTCCAGGGTCGTGATCGTACGTGATGACTTGCAGGTCGCAGGTCACGCACTAATCAGAGCTGAAATTCATCAGTCCTT